TATATATATTAGGTATTTACAATAAAAAATAATATAATATGTTAAGTAAAAATGTTAAAATACTAATATTCTTATAGTTGCACAATGATGTTCAATGTAATGCACACTATCACGTTTTGATTTGCACATAATAAACACCATAATATATAATGCACAATAACGTTAAACATGATGCACATTATTGAATGTTAGACTGCACATTGATGTTAATTGAAATACAAATTATTAAGATGTTTTAAAATTAAAATGCAAGTAAAAAATACCGCTATACGTAAAGTTAAGGGATATATTATCTAAAATATCCAATCTATAGGTAGTCGATTTTAATTTTTTAAAATTATGATTTCTTGCTTCACTTTTTTTTTTTTTAAATAATCGAAACAACCGAACCGACCGAAATATATAAAAACTATTATTTTTTTATTATATATATGTTATGTATCTCAACAAAAATAATATAATATGTTGAAATATAAATATTACAATGATAAATATATTTTAATAATATAAATAATAATTATTTTTTATTATTTTTAGTAAATTCGGTTAACCGACATATCACACATTAGTGATGAACGAATTGCACATTAGTGATGAACGAATTGCACATTAATGAATGACAGATTGCACTATAGCGACAAACCTTGACAAACTAGGTTTTTTGGGTCTGAAGTTTATGTTTTAGTTTCGATTGTCCATTTTATTATTAAATGTTTGATTATTTTGGTTCGATGTCAACTATATATATATATATATATATATATATATATATATATATATATTTAAAATAATCAAACTAATCGAACTATATAAAAAAAATATATTACTTGTTATTTATTTATTGGAGGTCTTTACAACCAAAAGTAATACAAAATATTATTTAGATTATTTAATTCGATTAACCGATCAAATAAATCGATAAATTTTGCTCAATTTAGTTTTGGGTTGGGGCAATTCATACAAAAGTATGAATACGCTGCGATTGCACAATTGTGTTAGACGAATTGCACGTTAATAACTACCAGATTACACCATATCAGATGAACTCGACCAAACTATGTTTGGACCAAATTTTCATTCTTTGGTTCGATTATCTGTTTTTACTTTTAATATTTTGGTTATTTCGGTTCAATGTCAGCTTTATTTTTCAAAATAATTGTACCAATCG